TTTATTTTATTTATTTTATTTATTTTATTTATTTTATTTATTTTATTTATTTTATTTATTTTATTTATTTTATTTATTTTATTTTATTTTATTTTTATTGCCTTTCTTGGTTTGAGAGGCAGGTTCGGTGGGGGATCCCTCTTCCCATCTTCAGTCCCAGGAAAAGGGACCCCACTTAGCTGGACGAGGCCAGGACAGGAAGCCCAGGTGGACTTTTGGGGGCCAGTTCAGGCTCTTCCAGTGCCTCGGTTTTTTTTTTTAATTACTATTGTTTAATAAATTATACGTAAAATTAAAATACAAATTCCAAAGGAAAAAGAATTACAAAGTTAGAAAAAAACCCCATAAAAAGTGAATTATAAAAGATAATGTTTGTTCTTCATTTTTTTAATCAATGTTTTAAATGTTTTTGTCTTATTTTACTTTTGATCATATATATTTTTAAAAATATGTATTATTAAATATTATTCATCAAATGCTTTTTTCCTCCCTGCCCCAGCTGAAGCCAAGCCTGGAATAAGAGTTTATCTGGGACCAGGACAGGCGCAGGCAGCCCTCCCAGGGTTTCCCTGGGAGCAGGGGGAAAAGGGCAGGGTCTGGGGTCTTCTTCCCCCCTCAGGAGACCACCACCAGCAGCAACTGGGGTCCTCTGAGCCCTGCAAGATTCTGAGTTTGGCTGCAACAAGTCCACCTTTCACACATTCACAACAAAACCACCTCAAAGCCCAGTCTTCCTCTTTTGCATCACTGCACCTGCCTCCCTGCACAGAAGTTTCATAAGTAAATCCAGAATAAATGATGTTCCCTAGTTTACGAACGAAAGGTCTGCAAGAAAACCCACCAGGCTCAGGGAGCACCAAAGACCCCGCAGTCCTCTTCCCCTTCCCCTCCCCTTCCGGCCCTCCCTTTCCCCTATTTCTCCTCCTCCTCAATCCCCCTTCCTTCTAGCACTGATGAGGTTACCTGGTTGGGTCGTGAAACGTCTGCAACAAAACCACAAAGCTCAGAGGGCACCAAGGACCCCACAGTCCTCCTCTTCCTCCTCTTCTCCTTTGAAACCCTTCCTTCATCCCTCCCTCCCTTCCTACCATTCCTCCTCCTTCATCTCCCTTCTCCTCCATCACCCTCCTTTCTAGCACTGATGAGGTTACCTAGTTGGGTCCCGAAACGTTTGCAAAATAACCACCGGACCCCAGAGTCCTCCTCCCACCCCCCGCTGGAGAATTCTGGGGGTTGAAGTCTGTTGCTCTTAATGTTGCCAAGGTTTGAGACCCGGTTCTAAGCCCTTGGCCAAATTGCATTCCTTCTGGAGGGCATGAATGCCATGGGAGAACATTAGTGGTTAATCATCAATCATCCTCAGAAGGGAGGTGATTTGGCACGGCCTGGCCCTTCCCACTCAGCCTGGTCTTTCCTGGACCTTTGGACGGGAAGAGTCCTTTCCACCCCCTGCGACCAGGCCTTCCCACGAGAGGACAATGCCAGCTGTTCTTAACAAGTAGTCCTCAACTAACAACTGTTCAGTGACTTCTCAAAGGTACCACGGCACTGAATCCAGATTCCCGCATTAGCTTTGCTTCTCCAGCCATGAGAGTCGCAAAAGGGATCATGTGATCCAGGGAGGGCTGCAGCCGTCATAAATATGAGTCACTTGCCAAGCCCCTGGATTCTTTTTTTAAAAGTTTTTATTTTTATTTTTCCATAGCCTCTCTTACATCATTCACCTGACAGTGGGGGTCACCTGGGTATAGTCTTTGTGTCGTCCTATTTAACACTTACACCATTTTAAATCTACTTTTATCCTTGCCTTTACATTTCAATGGCCTTTTAATTCAACTCCTCCCCGATAATTCTACATTCTTTTCCAAATGATTCAATTCCCCGTTTCTTTTTGTCTTTATCCATTTTCTATCCAGAGATAAAAAACATCCCCATATCTTCTTATAAATACTCTGGTTCTTCCTTCTCTTTCATTGCCAACCTTAATCTCTTCATTTTGGCACAGTCTAATATTTTTTTTTAATTACCTCTCCCTCTGAGGGAATATTTTCATTTTCCAATTTTGTGCAAATATAATTCTAGCTGCAGTTATTACATGAATAATTAAATATACTTTTTTTTTTTACTATATTTCTCTGGTAAAATACCCAACAAAAACAGTTCCAATTCAATTCAATTCAATTTATTAAATTTATATAAACTTTATTTATATTATAAAGTTCCGGCTTTAAATCAATGTTGCTGTATCATCCTTTCCAACCCCAGACGAAATTTTGCCCAATATTATTTTGCCTCTGCACATGTTTCCCACACGTGATAATAAGAGCCGAGGTGGCACAGTGGTTAAAGTGCAGCACTGCAGGCTACTTCA